TACTTGTCGAAATGTTGAGTAACTTTATAGAATGTAACTGAATGATATATAATTTGATACCCTGGTCCATCTTAATTTGACTAAATTGTCACTTAATACTGGTATAAATATAATTTTAAAAAATGACATATTATATTTGTATTTCAATTTTGTGTTTAAAGTAGCATATAGGCCCGATGGGAGTTGATTGTTATATATACTTACTAATTAACTTGGTAGTTAAACTACCGATTAATTAATTTAACACTAAGAAAGTATTGATTGACATATAATAAAACAATTTTTAAAGGAATAGTATATGCATAACAACTGGATTTTTTGTTAAAGGTTATACATGTTATATGTATTAATTTAATTTACACATGACAGGGGACGACTCTTCAAATTTGTCAAATGGCAATTGAATTATCACTGATACTTTCATCTCCTTTGTATTATATAAGAGTATAACAGCATAATGAACAGTGGAAAAGAATTAATTTGACCAAAGCAAAGCAATAAATTAAAGGATGTAAAGCATAATTATGTACTACACTATTATATTTGTCATTAAATGATAGCATGTGTCCAAGATCAAATTTTTTGCAAGTTGTCTGTCTTTTGTTTTGAATCAATATTTTGTGAATAGTCATTATAAAGTTGAGTCTTTATATATTCATCAGGTTCATAATGTGTTGGTATGCAAAGCAATACTTCCATGTATAAAATATCACTAGTTATGATATTAAATGAATTAACAAATTGTTTCAAATGTTCTGTATTATTAAAGTCAGACTTTAAGGTAATACATGTATCTGGATCATTTCAATTTAAAGCAAATCCCCACACAATTAACATGAAAATATATCTGTCAAAGAGAAAAGTGTAAAAATATGCATAATTTAAAAACAGTCAAACTTCGTTGTCTCAATCCTGATGGGACTGAGAAAAAAACTTCCAAGATATATCCGACGATTCGAGATATCAACATGATCAAAGGTTAAATACGTAAAGAATATGTGGATGGGACTTCCAAATCACTTTGGCATATCAATGGTATTGGAGATATCAAAGTGTGAGATACTGAAGTTCAACTGTATTTTACTTTGGTAATTCTACACAGCTTTATCTCCAGGTTTTTTTATTCAGGATCATAAATATGGTTCCAAGACATATATTTCTCATTAAATCTACTTCTTAATAAGATTGTTGTGAAATATGATTATCATTTCTGTGTAAGATTGTTGTGCATTATAATTTATAAGTGTCCAGAAAAAAAAAGATTTATAATGAATTTAAAGCTCCTGCAAAAGGCTACATTTGGCAATCTGACAACTTCCTTAATAAATTAAACTTTTGCTCAATGCTTTATCTAAAGCATGCCTGCATTCAATCAATACAGCTGCAGGTATCTACAGTATAAAAATATTGATCATCATTGATTACACCTTGGCACTTTGACAATTTTATAAACATCATTTAATTGTATGGAAAAAGTTTCCCCAACACAGGTGTTTTCAATAACTGTGTCAGTTTACCATGCAAGAATACAGTATTGCACTTTGCAGAATTCCATTGTATTCAAGTACCTGTTCTCCACTAACTTATGGTGATTGGCAGCTATTTAAATATTCTTCTTTTTAACGGCATACACAATAAAGACTAAACTGTAAAACATTCAAGCAACCAGGTCCATTTTGCTTCACTAGAGCATGTACATGTAGAAGTGTAAATTTCACATATTAAATTCATGTATACTGTTGTTCATGAACTTACATGTAATTAAGCTCACAAAATTTTTAAACCACATTCATTTTTAACTATTTATATAGTGTACATGCTTTTCGTGTATTTGATAAAATTTGCATGAACATGATTACGTTTTCTTTTTATCAACAGTTGATCAAGATAAATATTTTAAATATTAGTCAGGCTATCAACTCATTGTTAAAAGCCTGGACAAGGAAATTTCTTTTTATTTATCAAGTATTGATGAAATGAAAACTTAGAGTACAGGATCAGATTTAAAGGGGGAATGCAATATGATACCTTAATTGATGAGAAAAGGACAATAAGGACTCCATGAAACACTGCTCCTACACTAAGGCCCATTGCTGTTTAAAATTGACCTACAAATAAACATATAAAACTGCAATATATCATCATGTGTGGATAAATGAATGTAAAGAAAATACATGTACATGTATAAACATTTATTTAATACTCAGTGTGCACTGTGCTCACAGGAACCTGAAACACTCAACAGTAAATATTTATCCTGTTTATGTTCTTTTGAAATTGTAAAGTACTGTTCAGATAATCTAGCTATCTTTAGAATGATGATTGTATTTGTATTAAATCTTGTACATGTATTTCAAAAATAATATACAGTATCATAAGTAGTGGAAAACTCCTATTCTGAATAGGAGTTTTCCACTACTAATGATACTGTATATTATTTTTGAAATACTGACTTTTGTTTCATCCTCCTTCCATGTGTTTTTCTATCTAAGCAATGTTGTTTCTGTATGCATGTTTGTGGCTGTATGTGAGGCCATCCCTAAAAAAAATGTTTGTTTTTATAATTGCCGCCTGAAGGGTTTCAGACACAGGAGGGAGGGAAATTATATTTTGTTTCAAAATTGAAGATAAGTTTTAATTTTTTTTATAAAAATCTCAGTAAATAGTAAATACATTTTTTGACTTTAAAAAATAAAAATTTAATGTATCTACCATTAACATATATCAACAAAGAAACCTTATTTTGCATAGATCTGAAACTACATTTCAGTGTTTTGTATGGTGCATGTGACAACAGGCAAAAAAAATAATGATTGAATAAAAAAAGTCTTCCTATACTTTTGGTTAATAATTTTTTTTGAGGAGGGAGCATTTCAATGAGGCTGGAGGCAATTCCAAATAAACAATAATTTTACTTTGGCCCGAGTGTGTCTTTATGTATAATTATTCAAATGTTTTCTGAATATATAGGCTTATAGGAAATTACTTTATATCTGTAAATAATAAAAAAAAAAAAACACAAAAACAAAATTGAGATTTTGAAATTCTGTTTTTATGAGGAAAATCAGACACACCTAGAAAAACATATGGGTGGTTCTGTCGGCGTTTTACATATTAACAGGTCCAGTCAAAAGATTATTTCTACGTACTTAGCTATTAATAGCATAGGCATTTAAACCAAAGGTAAATATTTTTACCTACTCTTTGCTTTACTTACATTCTGTGGCCAAAGGCAGGAACAGTGAAATATTCTAGAATACGGTGAGCACCAAATTGAACAAAACAGTCATACTGATGATGAATATGAAAAAAATTAGGCAAAAAATGATTACTAGCAGGGACCTATATATGGAACGTAGTATATAGGTCCCTGTTACTAGTATAATTTTGCATGGTAATTAAATTTATGCAAACTTGTTTATTTTCCTGTTTACGAAGTAATAATTTTTTGACCAAAAATATAGTGTTATTGCATCAATTAGGAAATTGATACTCAAAATTTCGCGGTTCCTGCGTTTGGTAACAAATTGTAAGTATAGCAAAAAGTGGGTAAAATAGCTACTTTGTGTAGGTTTAAATACCTACGTTAATAGCTAGTCTACATGAAGTTTGGACTTGACCTGTTTAAAGCGAAAAGTAGACAAACACTGAAACAGGCGCAGGCCACACACAATGCCCTCTTACCACGTTTATTGATTCCCCTTATCTTCTTCCTTCCATTCGGGGTAGTTTATAAGTATATTTCATTTGTTTCAGTAAATTGTTCTTTTTTTAGGAATACGGAGCATATAAATTTATTATTTGGCTTTTGTTTTTGTAGGCCCACTTAAATACGGAAGACGCTCAGATGGGTGAATTTTGTCCAGAACATGTAAGTGGGCGAGTGGATTTGGAGAGGGCAAGTCAATTGTTTCAAACATTTTGAAGCGCCGGGCGGTTAAAAGTAGCCGGATTGCGAGAATTTCAGCGGCCAAATGAAAACAAATATGGCGAAAACGGAGGTAGAAATGTTCTTGATGGTGAAACGTTCGTTTGTTTTTTTTTTTTTTATTTATCATTTGTGGTAGTCTCAGTGTCAATGAACATACACTTCTGAGATAAATAAGGGACTTTTACAACATATTTGTTTACATTTACACGACAAACATTTTTGTTTTATTTTAAAGCTGCTTTCTGTGGGTAACGAGGTCCTATATGCTCCAAATTTACAAACTGTACATTGAATGGATCTAGATCTAGTAAATATGAAAACGAAATACAATGTATATTCACTATATCGTTGTTCTCGTGCGTTCAGAGAATTTTTTACAGCAACAGCACCAATACCAGCCACATCCGGCTTATTTTTCACTCGTTTCAGCGACACTAACCGGGTCAATATGTCATGTGATAAAAGTGAACCGGGTCATCGCCCGGCTGTCTGAAACAAGTGCGCCCGCTACAGTATCATGACGGTGCGTCGAGTTACCTAAAAGGACCCAAAAGGACTTCCTTCGAAAGACTATACAGTTACTTCCCCCGGGGAAGTTTCAATATATAGCTAGTCTTCCGTGGGAAATCTAGCTGTATATAGCAATTCGTCCCCCTTCATAGCAACCCCTCCCCCGAATATTTCTTTTAATCGTAAAACAATGTTTATATGCTAACGTTTTCAGTTTTTGAAGAAAAGTTATCCGTCCTATATGAATAAATGTTTAAATGAAACCATTTTAATAGTGGTTAATAATTAAATCAGTTTAACCATTTAGTTTGACATAGATAATCTTCACGAGTACAAATGGATAATGAATTCCCCCCCCCCCGGTCCCGTGGATGCCCCTCCCCCCGGGTGCAATCGCCCGCGTGGCACTGTGGTTACGGCGTCTGCCCCCCGGTTCCGACGCCTATGCAATGTAGTCAATTAATATATTAATAGTCATGTACTTACATGTAGTGGCATATGTACATATGAGTAATATTTGGTACTGAAAACAATTGACGACCCCCCCCCCCCCTCCCCA